GTTACATGCGCGCGAACTTGATGTATAATTTGCAAAATTTTGTGTTACTCACTCATTTATTGGAGGGCACTGTACATCAAGATCTAAGGATGTCAGAGAGCCATTCAATTCCAAAGCTCTTGCCAAGGCATTTATACCTTTCCCAATCTTATTATACCCAAGGCCCAAAAACATAATGATGAATTTAATTCTAATGACTTTGCTAAATCCTTCACTCCTGCAGCTCCAATTTTGTTGTCATTGATATTCAAAGAAACCAGAATAGTACTTAATCCTAGAACTTTTGCCAAAGCCGTTGCACCTGCATCACTAATATAATTCTCACGAAGATGCCAGTGAAAATTTGACCAGAACTTTTGCTAAGTATAAGGCTAATGCTCCAGTCACTCCAATATTATTATTCTTAAGAACTAGGGATTTCAGAGCAGAATTTGACTCCAAAACTTTTATTGCTCCAGTATCTCCAATGCGTCTACCTATAAGATTCAAAGCAGTCAAAGGAGAATCTGATTCTAGAGCTTTTACCAATGCCATCACATTGTATCTCCAATCTTGTTTTGAAAAAAAATCCTGAAAAATCTGGGAAGGTTTTGATTCCAAGGACTTGGCTGAATCTGTTACATCTTTAGTTTCAATATGATTGCTACTCAAATTTGATGTTTCATCCAGTGCTTGATCAACCAATAGTTTTAGTTGATCAACTACTTGTTCACAGGATGGCTGCACATTAGGATCCGGATTCCAACATTTTGAATATAAATGAACGTACTCTTCAGGTGTACCAGGAAAAGTGGATCGCGATAGCCGTTTAATCTCTGTAGGATGACATCATATTCATCATAGCCCCCACACGGAGTCTCTCCACTAGAAATTTCCCACAATATTACCCCAACACTGAAGATATCAGATTCTTTTCCATGAATATATGATGGAGAAGCCTTAATGGATCAATATATGCTGCATTGCCGCACCCTTTGACGTAAGCACGACCTTTTCAGATCACTCGATAAAATATTGTGAGAAATAAAAAATATTTGCTGAAGTTACAATTCTCCAAGTATTCGCATCGGAATCGGTTATTCTAAGTAGATTTATTGATCAATAAGCAATTGTGTGATGGGAGGCAGACAAATGGCACGAGCTTTTCGACAATAAAAGGATCATAAATAACAACAATAGTGCATATACAACATCTTTCACAAGGCTTTGAGGCCAGCAAATCCTATCTTGCGGTTCCGTTTCCTCATCCTTGCTCAGGTCTTCCATTATCATGTAATCGCGTCGATTCATTGGATCTGAAATAAAGGAACAAAAGGCTAAGAACATATAATGAAATAACCAACCATCCACTCCGATAATAACAAAATAAGCTCATCGTGAGAATTAAGTCAATATTATACCGTATTTTACCCTCCATTGATCTAGCATAATAGGAGAGAAAGTTTCGGATCCAACTGCGTTGCTACCATCAATCTCTCCAACGGAGAAAAATATTTGATGGTCCTCCTTGGTGTAAAATATTGGATATTTATCATAGTTCGTATAAGTAGCTCCAAGAACAGCAGTAATTAGGCTTCCATGTGATTCCCTAAATCTGCCTACGGATTGGATCATTCGTGTTCTCATTTGGCGTCTCGTTTTGCGGAGGCATGTATCACTTTCAGTACCAAAGGCGAGATATTTCACTTCGATTACGATAAATACACCGGAATCAGAGCCCATTATCAACCGCCCTCCGGAATCGGTATGGTCAATTGTTTGCTCCCATTCACATTCATATAGCCATCTGAAGCCAGGCAACCGTACTTCACGATGTTTCACTAAATCACACATCAATACCAATAATATCATGCTTGCGTTTCCCTTATCGAGAACGTTGGAGAGCCCACCTCTCAGTTTCTTCATACAAGAATCATGGCGCTCTTCTAAGACTCCTTTCATTGGTTCGTATAAAGGAAATGCCCGGATCAAGATATGTTGAATAACATAAACAATGTTTTTTGGATGCCATGTATAAACATATATGGGTGCATCTTGATACGATGTAACGTTAATGTAATCTTTTGGGTATCTTGTGAGGCTTTTAAATAACACGTCTCCTCCAGTATCTTGATGAAAAAGAAATTCCTTATGGATCTCAAATTTGAATGTTGTCTTTCCGTCTTGTATGGCGCGTAGAAATAATTCGTTGACACGTAAGTTTATATTATGAAAGTCACACAGGGTTATTCTCTCCCATTTGGACCAGTCAGTAGGGTTATTACATTTACAACATTTGCAAGACCAAGTTTTCGTGGACTTTGAGCAGGCTGCTGGCATTTGTTTTCGTGGATTGAATCGGACGGTCTTCATATTGGGGGGGGGGGGGGAAATGTGACGCGACCTAAGTATCAATGATCGACAGAAAGCTATTGCTATATTAATATTATTAATATTGATATCAGGTGTATAATCTAATTCACCTAATTTTACCGCTAAGAAAATGGGCAAGTTTTCAAATTTATGAAAACCGACGCTTTACTAGTATTCAACAAGAAGTTTAAATTTAGGGATTTATAATTAATGCTAAGATAATATATCCAGAGCTGGAGAAAGTGTTAGATATTGTACTAACGCGATACTGATGACAATGGGTCGAAACCCAAGTTATTATCTCCACAACAAAAAGTATTCAAAATCAGAAACGAAAAATTACACTTGTCAATAAGATCGAGCGATTAGTAGATCGCAAGGAACTTTTATGGTGCTCGCTAAATCGGGCTATTAGGAGCACGTCAAAAAAACGGACTATAAAAAATAGTCGCAGCAAGGAAGAATTTGTGTAGCTTCGTTTTATCATGTTGTTTACAACCTTTTTCAGTTAGTCTCAATTTTCAACCCGCCATATAAGGACTTTGCAGTTCCCGTTTTGTGCGTTGAACCCACTGTGTTGGCAGTTCTACCATGCGTATTTTGAATACTTTTTGCCAAAATAAATCTCCTCTTCCCTGTCCTAATGCTGAGGGTAGTTAATGAAGACGGTTAGAATGTGTCGTGTTTTTGTCAATATTTACTTCGTAACGTAGTGAAAAAAAAAATTACAATCAGCAAGCTTGAGCGAGTTAATAGCCTTTGATTGCTAATTGTTCGTCTACTAATAGTTTTATTCTAAGCGACTGGTCTAAAAAAGCGCGTTTCAATTGGACAGGAAAAAATAATTTAATATGAATATGAGTTTATATTTTAGCAATAGGAGCAGCCGCTTTAACAATTATTCATATCTTAATTATGTGGTTTAACCAAAAACCGTTTATAATATTTGCCGGTCAAATCATCTAACATAAAATTAGCGATAACGATTGTCAATTTTCTACTGTTGTAATAAGAGATTCATACACTAGGATAAGAAAGCTAACCCAAGTTTAAAGATCATTCGCCGCAAACCATGATTATAACTTTACTATTTTTGATTAGGCGTATTCTCTGATTAGGAGTTAGGAATAAACCCGAAGAGTTGGTTCTTGTCTGGACAGGCTAGCCTGTGATACATTCTCTGGTTGCTAAAACGCAGCCCCATTGTGGGAAAATGTCGTAGAGAATCAGATTCTTATAATCGATCTGTAATCAATACATTAATACATTAATTTATCATCAACATGAAATTGTAATGTTCGTCAATGCTCTTAAGGTATACATTGAATGACGTGGAAAAGTAACTATTAATAGATCATATTAACGCATCAGGTATGGTGTTTAACATTTTATAGAGTTCTCAACGCGTGAGATGAACGAAAGCTCCTAGTCAGTCAGCAGCAACATCATATGCAATGCCTACCATCGCACTAGTGGTATTATCAGCAGTAGCGTCGCTATCCATAATGGTATCTTGGGCGGTATTATCTTATTAGATAGAATGAGAAAATAGAATTGGCTGAGTAGAAACAGATCAAAAGAGACATGTTGGTGGAAGTTGTAATAATCATTTTCGTGTTTGGTTATTGGAAAAAGGCGTTCTACGCTTATTAGTTAACACGCGAGAGATTTATGGATATTTCAACTGGAGGACTGTGGAACGAAACTTGAGCGTGATGACGAGAAATCGTGGTGATGTTGTCTCTTGGTTACATGAATTCATCCAAAAAATACAGACCGAGGAACTGCATCACTATGATTTAGAAGTTATTATAATATTAATACTAACAAGGTCGTCAATAATAGTCATTGCGACGATGAAAGGAATAGCTTCTTTGTACAATTGAATTAATAATTACTAAACGATTAGAGATTTCCCATACGTAAAAAGTTAAACGAGCTGATGAGTTAAAAGTTCTAAGTATCTTTATTCGCACAACTCCACGTTGACTTAGACCAAAAATTCAAGTTAAGCTCTCGCTATAGTCACGTTGCTATTACAAATTTAAACTAAATTAATATTGTCGCAGCTCTTGCGTAAAATGTTACCATGAACGCACAGCTCTATATAGTAGTGTATTTACCACGTATATAGAACTTGTTATAATTCCAAGACCACAGTTTAACTCGATCGAAATCCGCTATTACTATAGTGTTCGGTTTACAGCATTAAGAACTTAACGCTAATTCTCGTTTAGAAAGGTGGGAATAAACGTTGGTGTATCCAACGGCGACGTTTGTTGACTATATTAAATTACGTACGCTCATTAAACACTAGCAAGTAATTTATCCAATTCGCATATCGATACAACGTGTAGCAGCTTTTGTAAAAATTTTTCTCGTTCCGACCAAACGTGGATTATCTAATGATGTTTTGTCGCATGTACTTTTGCCATAATAAGATGGTTATAACCACCGGGTTTTACTCATGAAAGTTACGTACGTATCTACGTAATTTAATCTTCGGACTAACAATAAATACTTCGGATTAGTATTAGTATTAGCAAGTCTAAGTGTGATATCCAATATGTCATTTCTCACAATTAGATTCAGATTACAGTGGTTTTATTATTAATGAATTAGGGCCAGGAGGGTATTAACAAACTGTGTATATTGTGTGAACGTTCAATATGAAGACATAATTATTAGTCAAATTAGAGCGACGGAAAGTTTTCTTTCTTTTTATGGAGAAAAAAAAACCGAAGTCGATCCAACGACTGGTCAAGTTTGTAGGTGACGAAGAAGCTCAAAAACCAATACGTGATAAAATAAATAGATTAACGAAAGCTAGTTAGATATTTACAGCAAAATAATTACATGAAGGTTGAGTTTGCAGCTATGGAAATGTTAAACAGTTTGTAGCGTCAAATTCTTCGAAACAAGTGGCCATATTAATATTAAATACTTTCGACCATTATATATTACAATAAACAATGAGTAATTATTAATTTTTAAGTATAATTTATCACTAATGTTTTTTTACACGATAAATTTCTTTGTTAAAGAGAGTCACTATGTATAATAATAACTGAGATTGCGTAATTTATTGTAATATCTGGCATATTAATACCGTAAATTATCGATTTGGCGAAGGAACCATATCGAATTTATACAGTTAACTGTGGAACAAACATAGAGTGTCTGGTTATTATTATTATTATTATTATGAATTTTATTTAAACCAAAAGTCATTGACAACGTCGAAATACTTTATAGATAAAATCAGGACTATACCAATGAAGTCAAACGAAACTATTTATGAAGATCGAGTTAAGGATATAAAATCCAAGAATCCTAAACGTCCTTAACTGGAAAAGAAAGGGTAGGTCTTTGCAAACAAAATCGATGACCAATCAGTTCGAACATTGGTATATACACAGTGAAATTCACTTTAACGAACTCTCACTTTAACGAAGATGGCTTATAACGAAGTATTTTTCCGGAACCAGTTCGCTCTTAACAAAATAATTTCAGATTAACGAAGGTTAATATATAAAATGCTATATAACGATGAACGAAGAATTTAATAAATAAAATCCATTTCCTTTAATGATATAATGAAGTTCGTTATCTAATCAGAATCATCCATCAACATCTACAATATAAATAAAGATCTAAGCTTTCAAAAGCATTTTGCTATATTAATATTGTTTGCTTCTATTATACGCTTGCTCTTTATAATTATGCCTTCCAAAAAACGTCACATTAAAGAAAAGCATCCATGTCAAAAAGATCGCGAACAATACTTACACTTGCCCAAGAGCATTCTTAGAAATGTTATGCAGAAAAAAAAGCAAACAAGAATTCACAATTACATTAGCTTTGCATAAAAATTTGTGTACTGTGTACGCCATAATAAAAAAAATATTTAATAAAATAAACGAATTTTATTGGATATTCAAACCGATTAAATTATGTGAACAATTCGGAATAACGAAGATTACAGATTAACGAAGAAATTCTGCGGAACGAATGACTTCGTTAAAGTGAATTTCACTGTGTAATGAAATCAGATCGGGTATTACCGATGCAAACTTGCGTAAAAGAATACTAGTACATTGTTTGAAATATAAAAAGTGACCGGACGGAACGCGCATGTGACTGAACATATTGAGGTAAATGTTTCAGCTAAACTTAATGTTATTCTATCACCTAAATAAATGTTGCATATAAAAATATGTTTTTAAGGAAACCAAGTGATATAATAATAATAATAATAATAATAATAATAATAATAATAATAATAATAATAATAATAATAATAATAATAATAATA